CTATTGTTGATTTATATTTATATAATCATGAGTTAAGACGATATATACGAGGCAAAATTTGTGCATGTCTGTGAATGTTGTCATTATTATAATTGTATGTTTGTTGTTTTTTTCGTTTGAATATGTATTTAGTTAAGATGTAATCTTTATTGTAAAACTGAAACGCGCTATTTAATGAATCTGTAAAAATATATATGCTATTTTGAACTGTAGTTTTGATGCTTGATTGATTTCCATATAAGATATGAACGAGTGTCAATTATAATGGATCATATATTCAATGTTATTTTTTTTTTGTTACATAAAATAGAAATATGATGTCCACGGTAAAGAGAATGTGACATCGAAGACTGAAATTTATGCTTATGACTGATAGTATAAGTATTTATACGCGTGATAATATGTTTCTTGACAAAGTCATATCATATTCGATTGAAAATAAAGAATTAATCATTCTATTTACAATTTAAATGATAAATATAGGTTAATTCTCTTTTGAAGTAGATAACATGACTGTTATTATTACGCATACCTATTGATAAATGAAAACACGTAAATTAATTAGAAATTGTCTTATACTACAATATATCTTCAAATTATTTTTATTCACGTGCTTACATTAAAAAATTTTACTATATGTTTTATGTACCTAAAATTATAATGAAATTGCATCTATGCCATACTTTTAGAATTGAATATTTATCTTATTTTAGACAGTTCTTTAAGCAGGATTCAACTGTATAAACCGATAGATACGTTATACCATAAAAAGAAAAACATCTACGTTTATTAAAGTATAATCTAATTGACTTATTGGATTAGAAGTTAAATAATAGACGAAGACATAGCATACTTTCAATTCAGTTCTTTTTTCTTCTAAATACAAATGAATATATTAAAATGAATCAAGTTTTGATAAAATACGTTCGACATGTCCAGGTGACGATGAAGAACGAAAGATAGTAGTTACTTTTCAAAAATAAGCTCAAAATAAAGATTATCAAGATTATAATGAGTCGTATTCATTTCTAAATGATTAGGAAGTGGGATATTTTCTTGGATAGGTAATGTCTTTCTATACAAATCTAATGCTTCACAATACTTCATTTGTTCTTTATGAATACTAACCATATTATTATAACAGTTAACGTTACAATATTATCTTGTAAACAGAGTAGAATTACTGGAGGGTGTGGGTATATCTAGTTCACGTTACCCACACCCAGTAGAGGGAATATGTTGGTTTTTCAAAAAAACAGATTCTTCCTAGGAAACCCAATCCTCAACAAAGTTCTTGAAAACGAAGTCCGGATTCGTGTTGCTCGACCATAATTACCCTTCGATCAACCCTTATAAAAAACAATATTTTTGTGAAAAAATGATCTTTTTTTTTCAAAAAACTAACATCAGTGAAATAGTTAATCATTGAAGAACGAACGGACAAAAGGACAAACGAACGAATAGACAGACGGCCAAA